CCTGTGTGTGTGTGTGTGTGTGTGTGTATATATATATATATATATATATATATATATACAGTGGCGTGCGAAAGTATTCATACCCCTTAATTTTTTTCATATTTTATGTTGCTGCCTTATGTTAAACTGCTTTAAATTACTTTTTAACCCCACATCAATCTACAACTCCATACACCACAATGACAAAGCAAAAAAAAAAAAAAGTCACAACTTCGTAAATTTATTCAAAATAAAAAATCTTAAATAAGTACATTGCATAAGTATTCATACCCATAACTAAATATTTAGCTAAAGAACCTTAACAGCCTCAAGTCTTTTTGGGTATGCTTTGCACATTAGCATTTGGCAATTATCTGCCATTCTTCTCCTCATCTCTTCACCTCTCAAGCTCTGTCAGGTTGGATGGGGGCAGATGCACATTTTCAGGTTTCTCCAGAAATATTTGACTGGGTTCAATCCCAGGCTCTGGCTGGGCCACTCAAGAACATTCACAGAGTTGTCTATAAGCCACTCTTGCTGTGTGCATAGGGTCATTGTCCTGTTGGAAGATGAACCTTCTGCCCAGTCTGAGGTTCTGAATGCTCTGGACTGGGTTTTCATTAAGGCAATCTCTATATTTTGCTGCACTGAGTGTTCCTTCTACTCTGACGAGTCCCTCAGTCCCTGCTGCTGAAAAAACAGCCCCAAAGCATGAGGCTGCTACCACCACACTTTACTTTTGGGATGGTGCTCTGCAGGTAATGAGCAGTGCTTGGTTTCCTTCAAACATGATGCTTAGAATTGAGGTTCATCAGACCAGAGAATCTTGTTTCTCAGGGCACTGTGTGTGTGTATATATATTTATGTATATATATATATGTGTATACATAGGTGTATATATATTTATGTATATGTATGTGTATATATATATATATATATATATATGTGTGTGTGTATATATGTGTAAAAAATATTTTTCTACGTATTTAAATATTGTCATTATTTTTTTTACATTATGACACCTTTGGTTAAAGCAAATACTGCATGTGTTTGTGGTGAGATTATATTATTGTATACACAGTCCATTCAATTTAGACTGCAAACTCACAACTTAAAATATTAAAATAATTGAATTTGCTGTAATGCTGTAGATTTGAATGTTAAATATAGTGCTTATGGCATGTTAGCATTTTACGCACCAATAAACAAGCAGTAAACTGTATTTTCTTGTCTGTTATCAGGTCTAACATATGATTTGCATCAGTATTTGGTCATTATGATTTACAAAACAATCACAAGATATTGTAGTATGGTTTAGGGTAAGAGTCTGTGGATCCAGTGCAGCTCAATCTTCACCAGAGAACAGCTTGCATGTTAAGAACCTGTTGGTAAAATGTTAAAATGCTACTTTGTTTTATAATCTGACAATCTGATAGATGATAAACTTGTGCTTATTTCCACAGAACATTCCAACATTGGGCACCGTCGCCATAACGATGGCCCTTCATAACTGCGATGAGGTTGCTGTTGCTGGATTTGGCTATGACATGAACACCCCTCATGCACCCTTGCACTACTACGAAACAGTCAAAATGTCTGCCATAAAAGAGGTAACAGTTCTATGTTTCTATAATTGGCAAATTAACTTCTAAAGTGAAACATGAAGAGCAGTTTTTTAGGAGTAGGTGTTTTAATGCATAGACAAAACATTTTGTACAGTACCTCAGCCTGTTGATTTGTCCTTGTTTGTTTATCACTTTATGGAAAATTACAATGTTGTCATTAACAGAATGCCTTGGACTACCTGCTACTTTATTTTTAATTTTTTTACCTCAGATCAGTCCTTATGAAGATAACATAGATGATAAACTTGTGCTTATTTCCACAGAACATTCCAACATTGGGCACCGTCGCCATAACGATGGCCCTTCATAACTGCGATGAGGTTGCTGTTGCTGGATTTGGCTATGACATGAACACCCCTCATGCACCCTTGCACTACTACGAAACAGTCAAAATGTCTGCCATAAAAGAGGTAACAGTTCTATGTTTCTATAATTGGCAAATTAACTTCTAAAGTGAAACATGAAGAGCAGTTTTTTAGGAGTAGGTGTTTTAATGCATAGACAAAACATTTTGTACAGTACCTCAGCCTGTTGATTTGTCCTTGTTTGTTTATCACTTTATGGAAAATTACAATGTTGTCATTAACAGAATGCCTTGGACTACCTGCTACTTTATTTATTTATTTTTTTACCTCAGATCAGTCCTTATGAAGATAATTTTGTTGTTGTGTTTTATAAATTTCTGTCTGCCCACATTTGCCATGGCTGTAAAAGCACACTCATAAAACAGAGCTGTTAACGCATAGTTAGCTCCTGACTGCTCTGGCACCCATCCTTGTCAAATCACAGTCAGGTACCATTCATGCAGGACTCACTCGTTTCCTGCGGCCTGTGTTCTGTCAGTTTAAGACTTCTGCACTATGTGATTTAGTCTTGAACAAATGGGTTTTAAGCTGTTGGGCTTGTATAGTGAGTACTACTATAACAGTATAGGGTATTTGTTTTTCTAGGTTTTGACAGGTACTTTCTAGGTTCATCCTAGCTGTGATGTAAGGGATTCAGTCCAACTCTAGATTGACTTTATGGCTTTCAGTGGTAATGCCAGGATTAGAGTAATAGCTTGTTTCACCACCTTGTTGGGGAAAATGTAACATTTACATGAAAGTCCTTCAAAATCCTGTGAGAAAGACTGTAGAAATTATTTAGACCTTTCTAATGTCCCTCCGAGTAGTTTAGCAGCATTTTATACAAAATATATTATGAAAAATTATATACATTACCGTTCAAAAGTTTGGGGTCCGTATTCTTTTTTATGAAAGTAAATAATTTTGTTCAGCAAAGGTGCATTAAATTGCACAACTAATGTTACAAGAGATTCCATTTTCAAGTAAATGTTCTTTTGTACTTTCTATTCATCAAAGAATCCTGAAAAATATAAGTTTCTGCAAAAATACTTACATTTTAAAATATATTAAAATAGAAAACATTTTTTATATATTGTAATAGTAATTGTCATAGTAAAAGTAAAAGTAATTCACAATAGTATGTAATAGTAATAATAAAATGTAATGGTAATTCACAATGTTACCATTTTTACAATATCAAATATATGTATCCTTGATTAGAGACTTCTTTCAAAAATATTAAAACATCTTATGGATCCCAAATGCAGAGAGCTATTTCTCTAACTATAGAGGCATAAGGAAAAGATTGTTTCAGACCCTCTCTCCCTATATAAGGCAGTTTGGCCTAAGGAGGCTCTTAACCCAGCATTCATTTTGGCCTGTGCCCTTTTCTCTCTTCTGGAGAGTGAAACTTTACTCTTGGATCTGCTGGGTTTTTCATGAATGTGATCCTTCACAAGGGCTGACCAGGCTGAAGCAGACAGCCCCGAGACTCTGACGAGATGCTTTTGGCTTAGTATCATGGCCCCAGCAGGCCCAGAACATCCTGTCAGGGCCAGTTGTGGGGTCCACCCATTCGGACCGAGAGCCTCTCACAGGAACCCAAAGCTCTGGTTTCATCCAGCAATACCAGGCCTGTAGGTCCTCTGCTGTGGCGTTCTGTTTCTGAAAATCATGTTGAAGAACAATAGGATATTAAAAGAAAACTGGAGAGGATGGTTTTCACAGGAGTCAGTACAGCTCCAGTTCTTTGATCCCAGAACACACTCAATCCCTGTGCTGTGACTCAGGGATCTGTTATTGTTGTAATAAAAGACTCTAGTAGATGTGAGGTGCTGTGGATTTAAGAATTAATGTAGCTTTTTTTATCATAGTAGATACTGACCTCCATTAAACCACAAATAAAATAAAATAAGTACTGACAATTTTCGAATGGAAGATTTAAATGCAACTTTACAGCAATTATCCATAGATAAAATGTTTCCAGGGCACCAGTAATGGTGACACAATACACCCTGAGCATTATTTTTTTCCAAATCTTTAATCCACAACTTCTTCACAAATTCTCAAGATGTATTTACACTATCCGTCACCCTTAGCAGGGTAAATGGTTTAAACTATTTTACATTTTGGCAAATTAGTGGCTTATGTATACCTCGTAGCTTGTTTGCATTCATGTGATTCTGATGACGCGCAAAATTCAGATGGAGGGCAGGAAGTGAAAAGCAGAAAGGATGAGATGAAGGAAAGTTCATACTGTACTGCATAACAGGCATTTTTAATTTCTGCCAGCGATTCCTCGATTAGAAAAATTACTTCCTGCTCTCCAGCTGCATTTTGCACCACAGCAATGACGTCATGTGCAAACAAATTATTTGTACCTTTTCATGCAATCTGCTGATAAAAGATGATAAAAGGTCAGTTATGTAACCAGGGCCCGTAACCGATCTAAAGTATCCAGATAGGAATTTGTTACCCATTCTCAGTGGGAAAGTGCCCAAGGAACATTGCTCAAAAAAAATTGATCAGCAAAACTGCTCCAAAAGTTGCCCCGTGTATCATCAGCCTGAGTCTCATTGGTTATACATTCCATCAGTAGTACACAGTTGCAAATATGCAAAGATAATAACGTGAATACTGAACTATCACTTGCACAATCTATTACCTAAAATGCCCCTGCATATCTTAATGGATGCTGCTTGTCCAATTTTCACAAATTTTAAGGCTATTTGGCAAAAGTCTCTGCTTCCAAGACTAACATTCTTGGTCTAATGAGAATAAAAGGGCAGACTGTCATGTTGAGAGAGTCTGTGCTGTAAATGCACAAAAGTTGGCCACATTCAGTAAGAAATGACAGTATTCTCTTTATATCTTCCCCACAGTCATGGACTCACAACATCTCAAAAGAAAAGGAGTTTCTCCGCAAGTTGGTGAAGACCAACATTATCACAGACTTAACCAATGGGATTTGAACCTCCCAAGGTGGGTGCCTTTCTAGGAGGACTCAAAAACGCAGAGTCCTGGGAAACCCTGGACCAGACAGCATGGAGGAGCGAGATTTCAGAGGTGGAAGTGATGGCTCAGTTAAGATGCACATGTGCCTTCTAACCGACAGGCTTCCTCTGAGCGGGACGTTGAAGGTTTCTTGGATGTCTCAGGAGACAATCCTCGTTCAAGTATAGATGGAAGATATCAGAGACTTTGAGGTGACCAACACACACAGCGCTTGAGGAACGAGTCACAACATTAACTGATTGTGCCAAATGTACCTCTTTCGGAGGAGATGCCTCTCCTCTCCTGCCTGAATGTATTAACGGTGTAAATATCAAAGATTTTTACGGTGCATTTTAATGAACTGCTACGACCCCTGGGGTTCTGCCTTCACATGTATTTCTCCGTCCAGGGCAATCAGTGCATATCCTGCCCTAGTGTGAGGAAGGGCAGAGGCAGGTCTTTGATTCAGCCCTTCTTCTGAGCACAGGAGGCTCTTTATCTCCTGAATGTGAGCTTATTATGTTACAGCTTCTTTTGTCGAAGAAAGGAGCTCAATCTCTAAGTTATTTATTTTGGTGCACAGATGAAGGCCTTTGTTTTTTTGGAAAGCTCTCTTTCCAAAATTGATTATTAAAGGTGGGGTAAGCGATTTTTCAAAAACGCTTTAGAAAACTGATTCGGGTCGAATAGCAAAACAAACTTGTAGCCAATCAGCAGTAAGGGGCATGTCTACTCATGATGTGGAGGAGAGTTCAGTGCACAGGACAGACATTAGCCGAGCCGAGCGACAGAAAGATAGAGATGGCGGTTAAAAAACAAAAGAGGAAAACGTCTGCGGAACAAAAGAAGGGTTAAGGCAAGAAGTAGGACCCGTGTAAATATCGGATCAGCTTTCCAGTGCTGGAGAGAACTCAAGGAGCGGAAGGTCTGCGATCGGACGCCGAGGTTGCTTTTTTTCTTCTCGATAGGTGAGTAACACCGTGTCTGCACCGCAACAGCTAAAGTCTGTCTAGTACACTGGACGCGACAAAGCGACTGTTGAAAATTATTTGAAATTTGTGTCAATACGTCATAAATAGAATGCAGCAGCAGTTTTCTGTCAGGGATTTGTCGTGTCGTACCGCGCCGCATCCAGTATAGACCATAGATATGTATATACTATATCTATGGTGTAGACAGCATCACTGATTATAATGAGTTCCATAGTATTTTGTTGCGCCGCTCTCATCCGGTGTAGACACGGTGTAACATTGGTTTTGCTTTGTTTCACAGAACTTATCATTGCCTGGGTTGCGTACGTATGTGTGGGGCGGAGCTATCAAAATAGCGGCGAGACCCTTTTGGGGTAGGGGCGTGTTTGTTTTGATTATTTCAAATGTCAACATTGGCTACCAGAAATCGCTTACCGCACCTTTAATACCGCAATTTGCTTTAGGTGGGAAACTGAGTACCTATTAGGGGTGCACCGATACCACTTTTTTACAATATAATTCTGATACCTGAATTGTTGAAACTTGCTAAATACACACTACTTCATTATGAATAAGCAGAAAACACACACACAAATACATGTTTTATGCTACTGTTCAAAACTTTGGAATTATTTATTTGATTAAGCATTAATCTTCTAATTAATCATATTCAGCAAGAATGCATTAAATTGATCAAAGGTGGCAGTAAAGACTTTTACATTGTTACATTAACCATATTCAAATAAATGTAATTTCCTTTTTCTTCTTCCAAATAATAAATAAATAAATAATACAATAGTAGACATGTGCCGGTATTCGGTAATGCGATATATCACGGTAATGAATATGCACGATATTGTTATCGTGGGCACTTCAAAATACTGTGAATAATTATTTATTACAAATTATTACGATTTTTTTTAAGCATTTTAAGAATATTTTCTCCATTAATTGGTCACAATGCACAACACTGCTGTATGCTGAGTGAAAGACGCATTCGCACTCTCATGTAAACAAGCACAGATGAGAAGTGCATGGCAGAACACGTGAGAGACACTAGGTGCGTCCCAAATCGCATACTTATGCACTATTCTGTGACGTTTTGTAGTATAAATAGTGTGAGTATTTTCACACTGAAAATTCCAAAAATAAAAAGTGCACATTAAATACCCGGATGATTAGTACACTGGACGCGACAAAGCGACTGTTGAAAATTATTTGAAATTTGTGTCAATACGTCATAAATAGAATGCAGCAGCAGTTTTCTGTCAGGGATTTGTCGTGTCGTACCGCGCCGCATCCAGTATAGACCATAGATATGTATATACTATATCTATGGTGTAGACAGCATCACTGATTATAATGAGTTCCATAGTATTTTGTTGCGCCGCTCTCATCCGGTGTAGACACGGTGTAACATTGGTTTTGCTTTGTTTCACAGAACTTATCATTGCCTGGGTTGCGTACGTATGTGTGGGGCGGAGCTATCAAAATAGCGGCGAGACCCTTTTGGGGTAGGGGCGTGTTTGTTTTGATTATTTCAAATGTCAACATTGGCTACCAGAAATCGCTTACCGCACCTTTAATACCGCAATTTGCTTTAGGTGGGAAACTGAGTACCTATTAGGGGTGCACCGATACCACTTTTTTACAATATAATTCTGATACCTGAATTGTTGAAACTTGCTAAATACACACTACTTCATTATGAATAAGCAGAAAACACACACACAAATACATGTTTTATGCTACTGTTCAAAACTTTGGAATTATTTATTTTATTAAGCATTAATCTTCTAATTAATCATATTCAGCAAGAATGCATTAAATTGATCAAAGGTGGCAGTAAAGACTTTTACATTGTTACATTAACCATATTCAAATAAATGTAATTTCCTTTTTTTCTTCCAAATAATAAATAAATAAATAATACAATAGTAGACATGGTAATGCGATATATCACGGTAATGAATATGCACGATATTGTTATCGTGGGCACTTCAAAATACTGTGAATAATTATTTATTACAAATTATTACGATTTTTTTTAAGCATTTTAAGAATATTTTCTCCATTAATTGGTCACAATGCACAACACTGCTGTATGCTGAGTGAAAGACGCATTCGCACTCTCATGTAAACAAGCACAGATGAGAAGTGCATGGCAGAACACGTGAGAGACACTAGGTGCGTCCCAAATCGCATACTTATGCACTATTCTGTGACGTTTTGTAGTATAAATAGTGTGAGTATTTTCACACTGAAAATTCCAAAAATAAAAAGTGCACATTAAATACCCGGATGATGCACTTAAATAACCGAAGAAATTAAGTGTGGAATGCTGGACACTTCATGCACTCAACTGTCGCAGCTTTAAATGCGTACCGAAGGGGGAGGGGCTATCAGACTCCAATTATGAATGACAAAATAACCTTATATAATTCATACTATACATGGTTGAGTACATAGTAAATAAGTACATAGTGTATGAGTGCATAGTGTATAGTGCGTCATTTGGGACGCAGCTAATCTGAATGAAAGCGCACATTTACTCTCTGACAGCAGATGGCGCTAAACAGCATAAATGCAGCCGTTACCCCGGAAAATCCGTAAACAAAGCAACTGCACTACTTTCTAAAAACGTATTTAAAAAATAACCTTATATAATTCATACTATACATGGTTGAGTACATAGTAAATAAGTACATAGTGTATGAGTGCATAGTGTATAGTGCGTCATTTGGGACGCAGCTAATCTGAATGAAAGCGCACATTTACTCTCTGACAGCAGATGGCGCTAAACAGCATAAATGCAGCCGTTACCCCGGAAAATCCGTAAACAAAGCAACTGCACTACTTTCTAAAAACGTATTTAAATGGTTTAAACAGCCATTCAGATTTTTGTATTCGCAGTGGTGTTCATCACAGCACCAAATACTTAAATATTTATGCCTCTATAGTTATTTCAAACTTTTTTTTACATTTTAATCTGGACTACAACATGCCCTAGATATTGTTTGAAAATGTTTTGATTCTGTATCGTTTGCTCACACTTTAGGTTACATTAAGGCTCTATTAATTAACATTAGTTAATTCATTAGATAACAAACTTCCAATGAAAAATTCTTCTAAATGTTCATTGATCGGGTAATTTCAATATTTAATAACACGCTGTTAAAATCAAAAGGTGCAACTGTGTCATTTAATGAACTAACAGTTGTATTTTTTTAACAAAGATTAATAACTTCAGTAGCAAATGTAGCTATTGCTCATTATTAATTGTTAATGCATTAACTAAGGTTAACTAATGAGATCATATTGTAAAGTGTTACTTATTGGTCTTTATAATCCTTTCACACTTTAATCTGTGTGAAATGTTTTACTTTATACACTTTTGTGTATTACTTTATTGTATGTAAATGTTATAAGTTATAAGATTGACTTATATATTGTTCTAAGAAAAAAGTATTAAACCTGTTATAGTTTGATAATACTTTTTTTGCAACTAAATTTCAATACCGTGATAATACCATTTGCCGTGATAAAGGCATTTGCAATTAATCGCAACATGAAAATTTCATACCGTCATATGTCTATACAGTAGCAAGAACCACAACATTTAGAAAATGCACATTTCTGCAAAATACAGTCCTTTTAAACAAAACAAAAACATTTTATATACAGATTATGCATAATGGGAACATTGGGACAACTGGAACAGGGTTTTACTGTTCTGACTGTTGTAATAGATAATGCTAAATGGATAATGACATTTGACATTTCATGACTTAATTATCCATAGAAAACTTATACATACATATTCTATGCTAATGTTCAAAAGCTTGGGGTCAGTTTTTTTTTAATTATTATTATTAAACAAGGATGTATTGGTCACACTTCATTATAAGGTTCAATTCTCGCTATTAACAAACCATTAACTATGACTCTTGCCTCAAACTATTAAATTGCTGCTTATTAATAGTGAGTAAGGTAGTTGTTAAGTTTAGTTATTGGGTAGGATTAGGGATGTAGAATATGGTCATGAAGAATATGTGCTTTTTATGTACTAATAAACAGCCAATGTGTTAATAACAGTCATGCTAATAAGCAGCTATTTAATAGTGAGAATTGGTCCATGTACTAAAGTGTTCCCGGTGTATTCACTTGATCAAATTGACAGTAATGAATTTTACATTGTAAAATTGGTAATTCTGTTTCAAATAAATGCTGTTTAATATCTATACTACTGTTTTTACTGTATTTTTGATCAAATAAGAGCATAAGAGACAACTTTGAAAAACAAACAAAAAACACACAGTGCACTAATCCAGTAAGCAGCCAGAACTACAACATTAAGATTTAAGAAACCACAATAAACCTCAGCAAAATACAGTCCTTTTAAACAAAAACTCAGACGTTTTATATACAGATTATGCATGACATTGGGACATCTCAGACAAGGTTTTTACGGTTTAACTGACCATTTTTGCATGCTGCAAATAATCGAGCCAATTGGAAACAAATTGTTGATGCCTTATGTCCCACTCGGGACGAAGAGGAGTAAGTGAATCAGTCTGACCGTTTGATAGTAACAACCATGAGTAATGCGCAGTTTCTGATTTAGATTGTTCCTATGTCATCCATATCTTGTCTGACAAAAAATGTTGTATCGATGCGATAGGATCCTGGTATTGGATTGGTGCATCCCTAGTAACTATTCAGA